ATAATGATAATGATAATAACAATAATAAGGATAAGAATATAATAATTCTTATTCTTATTCTTATTCTTCTTATTATTATGCAAATTGGCTTTTCTGATTGGTGAATGTAAGTTTGAAGTGTGCCTCAACTTTGCCTTTGGTCTTCTGCTGGTCAGACAAATTGTGTCCGCTACGTCCTTAAAGAATTAAACTTATTTTTTGGTTGTTGTTTTTTTCTTCCTAGTGTGTTTCCCAAGACCTGACTGTTATCCTGCAGTAGAACACTAACGACACGGCAGGGGGCAACTGGGTTATTAGTCATATGACCCCCATGGCCTCAACCCTTGATAACCTGACCCAGCTGCTTGACCCTGACCTTTCTGACGTCGTGAAGGCGCTCAGACATCGGTACTGTGAGCGGCAGTACTACGTGAGTCGAGGAGTTTGGACAATTATTTGATTTGTTAAAATTATCCTTTCTGTTTAGAGTACGAACAGCTAGTGTTGGGGAAAGAGGAGACTGAAACAGGGTTAGGATGGGGGCTGTTTCTGCTGTCTTGCTGTGTGTATATATACCGAGAGTGAGAGCGAGAGGGGGGGGGGCGAGAAAGAAAGAGAAAGAGAGAAGGAGAGAGAGAAAGAGAGAGGGAGGAAAGAAAGAAAGAGAAAGAGAGAGAAGGGGGAGTTCCCTCATTAAGAAAACGATATCTGGGTTCCCAATTAATTAAGAAAACAATGTCTGGGATCCCCATTAAATAAGGAAGCGATGTCTGGGGTCCCCATTTAAGAAAAACGATATCTTATAATCCTCTCGTTGCACCACTTTTATTCCACAGACGGGCCTCGGCGATGCTATTATTGCCGTGAACCCCAACAAGACCAATGTCCAAGTGATACCAGAGAACTCTCCTCAGGTAATCGATTACTGACCTAACCAACAAATACTCAAGAACAATGTGACTTAGGGCTGAGCCTGAAAAGGCACAATTTCAAAGTGATGAAGAAAGTGTTTAATGAATGGAAGTCTTTTGAATGGGGTTTTTTCCCTACTTTGATAATCATGCAAGATAGAAAAGAGGATACGATTTTATTTACTTGCAAGAGGGCATATTGACGATGAGGTATGCGACTCTGTCGTCTGCCAGACCATCTGATCGAAATTATTTATTTATTTGTCTGTCTATCTCTCCCACACTTCCTCTTTTCTTCTCTCTTTCTCTCTGTTCTCCCTCTCTCTCCCCCTCTCCCCCTCTCTCCCTTTCGCTCTTTCTCTCTCTCCCTCTCTCTACTGCTCTCTCACAAACACATTCTCTTCCCGTCTCTCCCATCTCCCTTCCCCCTTTCCATCTGCAGGTAGGTCAACAGTACAGCAAAAGGAAACCGCCCAAGAGCCAGCTCCCACCCCATGTGTACTCTCTAACCCACCAAGTCTACAAAGGCCTCACCAACGCCACATCCACCGTACCTAGAAGTATTCTTGTCGCCGGTGCTTCCGGTTCCGGTAAGGGGACGTAACATCTCTTTGATCTTAGTAAGAGATTTACGGCACTTGCAGCACAATAAGGTCATGTAAATGCCGAAGATTAATGGTGTTACAAGAGAGTAACAGACACAAAAAAGAAGGAGGAGAGATCAGGACGATAGCATGATGTTTGGTAGGAAAGAAAGACCTAAACACACCACAACACCCACCAACTACCCACTCGTAACATCTCTATTGTAGCATCTCTGTCGGGATACCCGTATGGTGATGTGACATCTCTGTTGGTGATGGTATCCACTGAATTTCAAAGAGCCCGGCAGGTTGTGGGCAATTGTAATTGTTAATGTTTTTTAGCCTAAACCGACACATTTTAGATAGTTTGGGAGGTGGGTTGCTGCCACCCTGCTCGTCAAGGCCAACCTGCGCTCCTTAGAATACATCATCCCAGCAGATAGATTAAGTTACTTCATTAACAAAACAACAAAAACAAAACAAAAAAATTCCCCAATGGAGAATCGAAGTGATGTATTCTCTGGGCAACAACGAAGAGCTTACTCTCTACACTCCAGGCGCCTGTCTAATGAGATCAGTGGAGTTGAGTCATTTTTAACAATAACATTGATGTATGCTGGCGATTGCATTTTAGTTTAACGTCATATATTAGAGACCAAAAAAAGGAGCATTGCCTAAAAAATAATAAGCCTGAATTCTAGATTATATTTTTATTGCAGATTCTTAATCTGTGATCTCGGTTGCATGTGCTCATGAAATATTTTGTCAAAATTAGAACATTTGAACAGCGTGCAGGGGGTTTGTGTTGTCGACTTGAGTCTGTATTGAAGTTTGTTAGGTCTGAAAATCTGTCGCCCTACTAGACGCCATCACTTGGTCCACAGTATCATACTGGGCTAGCAGTACAAATCCTACTTCGATTTAAATCTGGAACTTTCTTGAAGCTGATATGTGTACTTAATTAAATCATTCCTTGCTGATAGACTTATCCAGACCCAGATGGAGGAAACCCTATCTTCAAAATCAGTACTTGAGGAAGGACTCCCACAGGGTTCTTCTACCAGCTGCACCTTATTCCTTGTCTTGCTCAATGATGTTTCAGATGTTCTCAAAACAGAAACAGACCTTTTCGCTGATGACCTGGTCCTCTGGCACACTGGAAACTCTACAACAATAAGCAGACAAAGACTACGAGATGATCTAAATTCCCTAGGAACATATTGCCGTTTCTGGAAGATGAAAGTAAATCACGAAAAAAAAACTGTCTACTCTGTTTTTACGAGAAGCTATAACCTTGCAAATGCAGCAATCCTTTTAAAATAGATGGTACAAACTTTAAAAAGGAGAATAACCCAGTGTATCTTGGAGTACAACTTGACAGTAAGCTCAACCTGAAACAACACACCAACAACCTTAGGAAGAAGGTTATGAGGAGGCTTAATCTCATCAAACGACTAGCCAGTACCAACTGAGGATCAGACAAGAACACATTGAGAGGCCTCTATTTACGATATACTAGGGTTGCTTTTTATTATAATCTTGTTCTACAAGACATTTGCAGTAAATCTACAAAGAACTCAATGGACACCATCCAAAACCAAGCTCTCCATCTTATCTCTGGCGGAATGAGATCCTCACCGACAGCGGCCTCTGAAACCCACACAAATATTGAGCCATTAGAAACTTGAAGAAAACGGACAGCTTTAGAAATATATGAAAGATCTAAAAGGCTAGAAAATAGCCATCCAAATAGAATTCTTGTTGACAAAAGGAAGTCTAATCAAAGACTAAAAAATACAAAATCTGTACTTGACACTGCCCTCAATCTCCAAGAAAAACATCACCTCCCTGAAAGACGAGAACCACTGGAAAGAGTTCCCTCAACTCTCCCACAACATCTCACCATAGCAACGCCAGAAATTAGGAAAACACTTTTGTACAAGAGCAATAAAAACACATATCCTGTGGCATTAAAATATTCTGCACTTGAAACAATTGATTCCTATCCACCAACATGGATCCACTCTTAAACTGATGGATCTGCCTTTAAGGCAAAAATCAGCGCTGGATGGGTCAGTGATCAACTTGCCCAGTGGGATAAAAAAAGAAGTCTTTAATACCAGTGGGTCCTTCTGCTCCAATTTCATTGCCGAACAACAGGCTATCACCAACACAGCAAACTACATCAATTACTTGTTTGACACTAACCCATTCGCTACCGCAAACATTGTTATCTTTACAGACAGCCTCTCAACACTAAAGACACTTGCGAGTGGGACTGATGTGAACAAAGATATATCGCACTTGATTTGGAGTCTACATAGTTTGATAAGTTGGCACCAAGTCAGAGTAGTCCTACAATGGATTCCTGCCCACACTGGGATACCGGGAAATTAAAGAGCTAATGCTCTAGCGAAGAAAGGAGCTAGCCTCCCTCAGCATGAAATTCCTACTGATTACACAACCTGCTGCCAAATGATCAAGTAAAACCTAAAGGAAGACAGGATGAATGATTGGGCCACAGGTACGACAGGAAGGATGATGTATGGCCACATGAATAAACCACTGGTCAAAGATCCAATCAATGAGTTGAAGAGGGGATATCAATCCATAATCTTCCAACTTAGAACACATCATGTACCCCTCAACCAACATCTCAACCGAATTGGAGTAAAGCAGTCTGCTGCCTGCCCACTATGTGACTACCCCTCAGAGACAGTGGAACATAATCTGTTCTTCAGTAGAAAACTAACTGATTTAAGGGGATGTTTTCTTCCCAAGCTACCCCACACATCTAACTGCCTCTACTCCTAAAGACAACAATTAGAACAGACACGCAGCTATTACAGAATGGCAACATGCAGAAGAGTTAACGCTCAAATGCTACTGGATCGCTAACAACAGCAACAACATCTGTGTACTTGGCTTCGACCCTCTCTGTCAAAGCCAACCCGTGCTCAGTGGGATAGAAAATCCCAGCAGATAAAGATACTCCATTATCAAAAAAAAAATGTTTTAAAATTCTCTAGGCGGAGGAGAAAGAGGAGGGTGAGGAGTTGGAGGGAGGAAGCAGAGAAGGAGAACGAGTATAAAGATTTGAAAAAGGAGGAAGGTGTGAAACGGAAGTAGAAGGTGAGAAGGAAGAGAAGAAAGATGTAACGGAGGAGGAGGAGAAATAGGACGACGATGACGACACCAACGACGACAACAAACGACAACACCATCACGCCCAGCACTAAACAAGCAATAATCACAACCACAACTACAACGGCGAATCCATTCGCTTCACAGTTGGTCCGCCCAGCACTCACCGGACAAAACTGTATCGTTGTTTCAACTGTGACGATTGGTGTCTTCCTGTTCGATAAAGTATCACGGCTTGATCTGCATCTCTAGCACAGTTCGTTATCAAACCACTTATTGATTGCCTCTCCATGTTGCTCGTCCGCTATGACAAGGCTGGCTAGATTACTCTATAACTCGTTCATTTTTAGGATTTGAACCAGATATGTCCGTTTCGTTTTTCTATTTTCTTTCCTTTTTGTAAGCATGTGTCTCCTCTCAACCAGAGCTCTGAAATCTGACTAAGCAATGCGGTTTAAAAGCGCCCATTTGTTTTAAGTTGTAAACACAAAGAAGAAATACAGACACCTTGCAATATTCATTGACTCTATAAAAATGTTTTATCTAAAACTATTATACCGCGTCACTCTGGCCCGAGAAAAGTTAAATTGGCCTTTTCTTTACACAGATAAAATATGTCCAAACAGAAATAAGCACTTAGACTGAATATTGATGATGGAGAAGAGGCGGGGTCTAGAAGATCATGAGGGGTCAAATGAATGCGAAATAAAAGCATAGCCCATGGTACAATATATTTGACGACTATTTCACGATGCTCACAGATAACTTATGAAACAAACAGTTCAGTCTAAAAAACGTTTTTGTTCTCCACAGGTAAAACAGAAGTATGCCAGATGGTCTTGGCTCAATTCTTCCGGGAGTCACATGTCTCCAGATCTGATCCGCTCCCCCGACTGCTGATGAAGGTGAGACAAACCCTGGCACTTCTTATTAGTTAACCCTAAACGTACGTCGTGTTATACAATCGTATCCATACGACGTGGGGGAACTCTGTGACCCGACTTCCCAAAGAGGAAACGTACTCGTTAAACCGATCTGTATGCTTTGCACAGTTGTCTGTGTGGGTGGTTGGCGGGTGCTCTGGTGTGGTTTGCTCCTTCTTTCCTATCAAACATCTATCATCCTTATCTCCCCTTCTTCTTTTTTATGTTTGTTACTCTCTTATAACACCTCTAATCTTCTGGCGCTCATATGACCTTATGCAGTTGCGAGCGCCGTAAAACCTCTACTAAAACAAACAAAGTTGTCTGTCGAAATGATTTTTTGAGAAATACTGACAATTTCAAAGAGATCTTTGTACTAGAAGTATTCTAAAATTAGAAAAATGCAACCTCGGGGGTACAAAATGACCCCAGGGCGTACGGATAGGGTTAAGAAAGCAAAAACGTGGACTGGATCTAATTTATGCTACTTGATATCAGAAACCAACGTTATGGGTTCGGATTGGTTTCATAGTCGAAAATGTCGAGAGGGTATTTATTAAAGTCATAATCACAAATGAAGAGCGTATCAGCTATTATAAAGTAGATAGGATATTTGTTTAATTCTATTTTGTACTCGAGGATTAGACGCCATCTTCTTGCGTCTTGACTGGACTTGATGTCAAATTGACTTGTCTGCCTAGATAACTATGCTATGTGTAATATATCGAAATAAGATATCTTTTGTAATTTCCCGTTTCATTAAGTCGTTCAGCTTTAAAGAACTACCGGATCCCTTTGCAAGTCAGTTTTGTACATTGGTGATGCTTTCTGTATATTGTCATGACACCTTATCCCTGATAATATCACAATGTCCTACTGTGAGTCCTTCTTTCTCTTCTTTCTTTCTTTCTTTTATCCTCTCTCTTGTACCATCTAGGATGTCGAGGGGAGAAAAAGCTTTCGATCTCTGGCAAGCTTGATGGTCTGACTGGGTGGGGTGTTGTGGATGTTCAGGGTATCCCCCACATTCTCGATCCAGGTCTTATTTGATCTTCCTCTTGCCTTATACCCTGATATTCGTTTGTAGTACGCTTTACTGGCAAGCTGGTGAGGTGCCATACGTACCAGATGTCCAAACCACCTGATTTTTGCCTCCTATTTAACGTCTATGGGGCGTTTTTCATTTCTATATATTTACATGAGTTGCACCAGTGGAATAAGACTTACGAATCCCAAACGATGTTTATTACATCATACTGTACTGTAGGGAGTGCCGTTAGCTCAGTTCGTATCACACTGCACAACGCCTGTGATTAGCATGGCCAGAATCCGTTGCGGGACGATCTTCAACTTTCGATGTAACATGAAGTCTCTTTGTTGTCCACTTTATGAAACCAGGCCTGGGGAAGTGGGCATTGTAACAGATCCCAAATATCTCAAAGTAACAAAATAGGTTTAGAAAGGCAGTAAAAGATAGAATACATGTCTACCAATGTAGGCAGGTTCATTTAATAAACTGCCCATGTTTTTGTGTTGGAATATTGTATTCTACTGTGACAAGATCTTAGTAGCCTGCATTTTCAATCATCTTAATTAAGCGTCAAAAACTCACAGTCCTAACAATCATTGCAGGGTATGTGGCTACTCAGTCGGCTCACATCAGTGAAGGACATCAAGAACAGCAACTCCAGCCTCTCATCCCAGGTGGTGACCTTGTACTTTGGACGGGATGGTACCTTGAAAACAGGCCAGTAGACATATTGCACATTCATTTTAGTGATCAATTCCACCTTCTTTCGCCCTTCTTTTCTTCATAATAATATTCTGCACTTTCTCTCTTTTTGTGTGTTTTGTTTCGCCCTTCTTTTCTCTTCTTTACCATTATTTCGTCTTATTTTTACCTTTTCTTACTTCTCAACTGTCACAGTCTTTTTCCTTCGTTTCTCTCTTTATTTCTACCTACCCTTGTTCGTTTCGGTTATCTTTTTTTCTCGTCCAACTTGCTGCTTGATCTCACCCACACTAATGATTTGGTGTCTGTCTATTAATAATTTGTATCTCCGCCCAGACGCCTGTGTGTCAATCTTGATAAATTCGACGAATAACGACGTCAATCTACCATTTCATCAAACAAAGCTACTTCCTCTGCACTGGCGCGTAATCGTCATTACTGCTTGACAAGAGAGTCAAGAGCTAGGTCACCGTCTTAAATGAAGCCAGTCGCGTGGTTATGTTCTAGTGTGCATGTTGTTGTTGAACGCTTACAATGTATTCATTAGAAGGTTCCTGAATAACGGGACGTTCCAACCTAAACGCATTTTACTTTGCCCTGATTAGAAGATTTGTGCGTGTGTGTGTTGGGGGGGGCACACCTTGTGTGTATGTGTACATGTGTGTGTGTGTGTGTGTGTGTGTGTGTGTGTGTGTGTGTGTGTGTTTGTGGTTGTTTGTGCGCTTAATATGTGTTTTTGAGCAAATGGAGAATGCATTAGATTTACAGTTTAATCAATTGTTTTGGTGATGAAGTTCCTCAGCAAATATTTTTGCTCTTCTCCCCCCGCCCCCAGAAAAAAACATATAATATACATATCTTTTTAACAGCCCAGTTCAGCTCTTACCTGTTCAACTCCCGTCATGTGATTCCACACGTAGTGGGCAGGGACCTACCCAACTGTCTGTATGACGTCACTGCGGGACTTCGAGACAACCGATCTGGTACTCCTGTACTAGACAGACTGGGTGTAAGGTCGGTAAATAACGTTTCTCTGACCTCCGAGAAAAGAAACTGATCGCGTCGTACGAAGTCGTCAACATTCTCTCTCTCTCTCTCTCTCTCTCTCTCTCTCTCTCTCTCTCTCTCTCTCTCTCTCTCTCTCTCTCTCTCTCTCTTTCTCTCTCTCCCTCGCTCTCTATCTATCTATCTATCTATCTAGCTAGCTATCACACACACACACTCACACAATCACACACACAGACACACACACACACACACACACACACACACATACACACACATACACATACACCCTCGCACACACACACACTCACAAATAGTTATTGTATGTTATTTTTGCATGCACATAGGTGTCCGCATTGCTCTTCATCAGTAAAATCGCTGTTTTAAGAATGTAGCCTCCTCTCGGAATCATCCTCTCAATTTATCGTGGGATCATTCTCACTCTGGAAAGTAGGCTCCTCTTAAAGCCATCCTATCATTGGATTGTAGTCTCCTCTCGGAATCATCCTCTCAATTTATCGTGGGATCATCCCCATTCTGGAATGTAGGCTCCTCGTGGAGCCATCCTATCATTGGAATGTAGGCTCCTCATGGAGCCATTCTATCATTAGAATGAAGGCTCCTCTTGGAATCAACTTCTTTTTGGAACGTAGATTCAACGTGTATTCACAATATTCTTTTGAAAAGTGGGCTCCTCTTGAATATAATCCTGTTTTTGAAAGGTGAGTTCTTCTAAGAATCATCTTCTTTTTTGTAACGTAGGATGCTCTACGGACCCTTGTCTTTTTGTTAAGAAGGCTCATCTAGTAATCACCTTCAATTTGTAATGTAAGTTCCTCTTGGAATAATATCCTTTATGGAACGTAGGCTCCTCCAGGAATCAAATAAGTTTTGGAATGAAGTCACCTCGTTCAAGAAATCATACTGAAGCTCCTCCGTCCCGCTTTCCGACCTGCGTCTTGCTAGTTAATGTTTTTCTTATGCAGACGCTAAAAAGACTTGCCTGGAAGGAAGCTGAAAAAGTGATGGTTATCCACACGTAAATACATTTCAGGATGTTTAATTATAAAAGATTGTTTGTTATACTCTAGTAACGTTCTACTAAAACTTAACAACTGAATGAAAATCATCTTTTTCTGGAACTAGACACAACGAAATGATCAACGCAGTGCTTCCGCGGATGAACAGGGCAGATTCCTTCCATCATAAGGAAAAGTGGATGGAGCTCGTGGACACTCTGGAGCATCTGGGTGTCGGGAATGGACTCAACAGCGTAAGCTTTCTCTTTTTGACTGTATGTTTTAACTTTGTGTTCAAATTTTGTTTTGTTTTATTATTTCGATAGCAGAGCAGTTGTCTCGGAGAAAAGAGTGAAGAGGAAGAGAGGAGGAAGATACGGTAAACTAAAGAAATCGTGTCACTGGCTACCCTAGAATTTCAAAGCTCTATCTGCCCAGCACCTAGTTTTGAGAAATTTGAAGTTTGATGAATATCTTGATAACTACTCCTCATAATCTTACGTTGTTTATAGAGAAGATAGAAGATTTGGTTTCTCACCCTAGGTACTTAAAGGCACTGTCTAAGTGTTCCACCTCTAGTATGTTCTAAATTGTGCAGGTTGGGATGCAGAGCAGTTAAAATATTTTCCCCAAAGCATTAGTTACATATAATGCAGCTATAAAAGACAGATTTAAGTGAACAAGAAACAACGATAACAGTAGTAATACTAATATCCTTAGCAAATACACTGACACAGCAATGTGAATGAAGCTATTTTTGTTCATCAATACCGAACTTTTTTTAAGCATTCGGATTTTTACTTTACTCTACTTCTTCCCTTTGTTACCAAGCTAAATCTTAGGGGAAGTCGACCATTAGTTGTTGTTGTTGTTGTTGTTGTTGTTGTTGTTGTTGTTGTTGTTGTTGTTGTTGTTGTTGTTGTTGTTGTTGTTTTCTCAATGATTGTAATAGCTGTAAATGTCTTATTGCCCGATCGACACAATATGAAACAATTTATTTAAAGGTGGGTTTCTTCAGCCATGCCTGGGCACAGCAGGATGCAGCATCCCAAACAACAGCCGCAGAAGCTACTCTCAAATCCAACTGAAAATGAAAATACCCCCCCCCCCCCAAACCGACCCCGCCTTTTCCAAATAATAATTATTTAAGCTCTCTCTCTCTCTCTCTCTCTCTCTCTCTCTCTCTCTCTCTCTCTCTCTCTCTCTCACACACACACACACACACACACACACACACACACACACACACACACACACACATACACACTCAAACACACACACAAACACACACAAACACACAAACATACACACACGCACACACACGCACACACACTCACGCATGGGTGCGTGTGTGGGCATCGGTGTCTGCATGTGTGTGCATAATCAACCAATCATTTGATACCCAGGGTTCTGGTGATCAAGACGGGGCACAAGGTGTTGTGGGTGTCTTGGTCGCCATCGTTATGCTCGTGTCCCTGAGGTTTGACGGCGACCCCCACACGCACAGACCTTCTGGTGCTGATGTTGAGCTCATGAACATTGGTGAGACTATACGCTTTTTCCCCTTTTTAATTGGAGTAGTTTCTTAATGTTAAAGAGGTTATTTTTTACAGCCACTTCTACAAAATTTAGAAAGATCAATTAGGAGGTGGGGCCATCCAAGCAGAAAGACCGAGATACTCAATAAACGTTTTCGCCCCACTCGAGACAACGAGCTGGCGTTGCAATTGTGCGACATTGAAGCGCCTAACCGCTGCCTACAGATGCCAGTAGGTTGGGGTATACGATTGAAGCAAAACAGGAGAAGAAATAACTTAGTATATTATACATATTACCCAAAAGAACCAAATGGACAAATTAATACACCGTGGAAAAATTGTATGTCGCTTTTAAAGCGCTTTAATGACAAGTAAGAGGCAAAATCAGTTCTTAAAAATATTCATCACTCTCAAGCCTGTAAGGCTAAAAAGAAGGTCACTCAAAAAATCATGAAAGTTGCAAATTGTGCTTTTTTTCTTCTTCTTTTTTAGAAAATCAGTATCTCGTATGACCCTCAACTTGGTTTTCACTTGGGCCTTGTAAGGTTTAGTATTGCTTTCTTTAGGCCACATTCCATGCATTTATAAGTCATTCAAAGAGTTTATCGGATGTGTAGGGTGCTGGCTTTGTGCCCAAATTGCATGACCTCTAGTGTCCCTCAATTTAATGTGCAACGATATGCTTAGAACTAAGGGCAGGCCATGGTGCCAGGACATCAAATTATCTGTTTTCGAAAGAATTTCTTGCAGCATAAGTCCTGTGGGGATGAGCATTGTCGTGTTGGAAAGTTACGTGCCTTTCTGCTTTTCTAACAAGAGAAAACTCTTTAAAATATCAAGATTCAAATAGCGCAGTTGTTTTACTCAATGTTCTATATATCTGTATTTCCCAGCTGCCTCGGCTCTAGGGGCCCCTCCCGGCGCTGTAGAACACGTGATCATGAGCGAAGTGCCCAAGTTTGGTGAGCATTGTCTCGCTTTTGTTCAAGTATGTGTGTGGCATCGTGATGAAATCAGGCGCTCGTCAAAATAATGAATTTCATCACGTCGTGCAATTTATATCAAGTTATTTCGTGAGAGGTTAGGGGGGGGGGAGCTCAAGACCTTTTATACTCATTTAAGAACACATTTTACATGTTTAGTGGATTTTGGTGGATTTTACTGAAATATGTTGATCAATGGCACAAAAAAAAGTAAATTTGTAGCTTCCAAAGGCACTCATGCTTTGGAAGTCACCAGACTTTGACGAAGATTTTCTGGCTCATTTTACCTTTGACACCCGGTTTAACCATCTCCTCCACCTGCAAATGTCTAGACTTCTATTCACAATAGATGGGTATTTTTTTCATTAAAAGCAACACAGATAAACAAGCTGTATGGTGATATCAATAACTATACGTGCCTCAAATCTGACAAGCGGCTGATTCCACCACGTCCTGACCCACACGATGCAGTAGAATCAGGTGCTCGTTAGTATAGTTAATGGTATTATCGTAAAACTAGTTCATCTGTCCATCTTTCAATTTAAAAAATATCCATTTATCTTGAATAGAGGCCGAGATATTATTTCAGGGAAGCTTTGCATATAAATACTCTGTGATTTCTCCTATATTTCTAGGGAAAACTTTAAATACAACTACCTTGTAAATTCTCCGAAATTTCTGGAACTATTTTGAGATTTTTCCAATAATTCCGAGGAAGATTTAACACAACTACTTTTTTATTTCTCCTATATTTCCTGGGACGCTCTAAACACTTTTTGATTTCTCCAATATTTCTGGGGAACACTTTAACTACAACTACCTTGATATTATGTTTTCTGTATTTCTGGGGAAATTTAATTATAAAATATGTTATTATTTCTCCTTTTTTTCTGGGGAAACTTTATACAATTACCTTGTGAATTCTCCTATACTTCTGGGTAATACTTTAAACACAATTTCTTTGTGATTTCTCCAATATTTCTGAAAGTATACGCCCCTGACAAGAGCCCCGCCCACCTTGCCCGGAATCAGCTGGTCCATGAGCTCTACGCCAGACTAGTCAAGTGGGTGGAGGCGGACCTAAATGAAGCTATGCCCCCTGTGTAAGGACTTCTGTCTGTTCGTGTTTTTCGCGTGAGGGGTGGGAGTGGGG